CCCAGGGGGCAGCTTTTAGTCCCACGCAAAAAACCATACCACACCACAATCTCCCATGCGTGGGTCCTTGAAATGCTTTTCTTGTGATCCTGTGGAAGAACTCAATTCCTGCCTACAGATTAGATGAGTTCACAAAAAAGATGCATTCATTCAACAAATGTTCATTGAGCAGCTATCATATTCTAGGCGCACCTTGCTAGGAACTGTGGATAAAATGGTGATGTTGATGATGGTGGTGATGGCAACATAATGACCAGCGTTTATTGGGAATACAGGGAATACTCCCTGTATGCCAAGCACCATGCTGTGCACCTTATGCAATCTTCAGAGTAGCCCTCTGAGGTAGGTTTTATAATGATTTTCTCTATATAGTAAGAACTTGGGGGCTCAGAAAGGTTAAGTGATGCACCCAAGGTCATGCAGCAGATAGTGGCAAAGATGGGACTGGAACCTAGAACTGTGATTTTTATCACAATGGTTCCAAGATGGATAGACATGACTGCAATTACAAGTTATCAGCAAGTAGCGACTCCCAGAAGCAGAAAGTGCAACTTGAGGGAGGCAGATCCAAGGTTTTGAGAGCTCTGCCCAGAGCATTTCTGGACTCTGTGGAGCCTCAGTAATTGTTCTGGGTAATCGTCCCAGGCTGGCAGGCTGCAGGACCCCAGCCCAGCTCCTCAACTTGGGCATCTGTCTCCCAGCTGCACCTACACACGCACACAAAGCCCTTCCAGTGACTATGCAGACCATGGCTGCAGAGATGTGAACCCCAACCTCAGCTACCTGCCTGCGAGGACTCAGTTGCTGCCTATTTTCTAACTCTGGGGAAACAGAAGCATATTTTCTCAGTGGGTCTGTGAAGGGGCATCTCTCACATCTTTTCCTTCCCATCAAGCAAAGAACTTCTTCCCTGGAGACAGGATGAGCCAGGAAGGACAGGCTTGTCCTGGACAACACCCTCCGGGGATGATAGAAAGTATAGTCCGCCTTGCTTCCCAAAGCCCCAGGGAAGTGGGGCCTGGAGACCAGAATGTGTGCTGTTGACAAGGAGGGAGCAGGTGGGGGACGCACAAACAAAGGAAGCCTGTGAGAAGAATTGAGAGCACATGGCCTCCAGAGCCACCAGCTGAGAGGAGCACTAACTGTGGGGACAAGACCAGGAAGTTGCTCCTTAGAATCTAAGACATCAAGGGCTGCACACAGAAGAGGTGGGGCAGAGCCAGTCCTGCTACGTGGGGCTCTGATCACTATTTCCTGGCAGGACAAATGCCTCTGGGTGAGCAGGAAACAGCCCTGCAGAGGTGTGACTAAGAGGAGGAGGAAGTGTGCTGGTCAACTGTAGAATTGTTCACTTCTCTCGTCCTTCTTCCTGTGTTCATCGGGAAGACAGGTGCAGCAAAGAAACGGCAGAGCTGAAGTGCAGGCCTGGAGTCAGACAGAACTGTGGACTCTGGGTGGGGGGAGGGTGGATGTGGATTCTCGGAACAAAACTCAGCTCAAACACCCCCCACTCCCCACCCCATGCGCTATCGGAAACAGCTGGGGAGCCAGTAGCTGCCTCAGGCCTCGTTTAGGTCCCTCCCAGGCCTTGCCTAGCCCCCCAGGAAGGCCTAGCACAAGCAAGTTATTGTATCAGGTGGGGAGCACCTGTTTTATTCATTTTTTTCATTCAACTAGCGTTTATTGGATACCTATTGTGTGCCAGGTCCTGTAATAAAAAGTGCGATTATAACTGTGCTAAGCACCATAAAAGAGATGTACACAGTGCCAGAAGGGCCTATGATCGGGATAGATTAGATATATAGTCAGTTATACGAGGGCCTATCATCAGGACAGCAGAACTGGTAAAACCGAGGAAGAGTTGATAATGAAGCTGAGCTCCAAAGGATGGAGTCAGGCGAACGGGAACAGGGGCAACCCGGGCGTAAGGAACAGTCTGGCAAAGAACCTGCCAAGAGACAGAGCAGCCTGCGTATTGGTTAGGTTTCAACGCATAACAAGTTACTCCAAAACCTAGGGGCTGGAAACAACTATTGCTTCTTTTAACCCACAATTTAGTGGGCCATACATTTGGCTTGGGTTCAGCTAGAAAGTTCCAACTATCTAGGTAACGTTGTGGCTGACCTTGGCAGGGGCTGTCTTATGCATCCGTGTCTGTCGGCTAATCTCTGGCTGGGTGAGGCTCTTTGGTTCTCCCCCTCACGATCTGTCGTGCTCCAGAAAACCACCCTGGCTGCCTTCCTGAGGCAGTTAAAGGCTCCCACAAAGCAGCCAAGAAGGGCAACTGCCAAAGCTCAGGTACTTCTCAGTCTCTGCTTCCATCCCACCAGCTTTCTTCCCATCGCCCAGAGCAAGGCCCATGGCTAAGCGCAGAGTCAAGTGTGAACAAACTGGGGCTATAACTGCAATAATCCACCTCAGTGTGCTCAAGGAATTGAAAGAAAGCAGGGTCCTGGCAGGCTAGCTCAGTTGGTTAGAGCATCATCCCCTTATGTCAAGATTGTGGGTTCAATCCCTGGTCAGGGTATATACATACAGGAGTCAACCAGTGAATGCATAAATAAGTGGAACAAAAATCGAAGTCTCTCTCTCTATCTAAAATATATGTAAGTGTGTGTGTGTGTGTGTGTGTGTGTGTGTGTGTGTAATAAACAAAATCAGTAAATAAAAAAACATTTTAAGTTATATTTAAAAAGTGGGAAAACTGAAGAGTGGCCGGTGAAGGGGAATGCGAGGCAGGTGAAACTAGAAGTGGGTGGGGCCAGGACACGCGGCCCCAGAACACACTAGGAGTTTTTGGTCTTTACCTTAAAAGCAGGCATGCCCTCTGGTTTCTGACCTCCTGTCTTGTGGGTTTGGTCGGCATAAATAAATCCCTTGAAGACTGAACTGGCTGAACAAGTAAAAGGGATTTTCTAAGCTTCAGAAGTCAGCTTAGAAGCCAGCATGGTCCGCCCCACAGGCCCCTGCCCACAGCCCACAGATGTGAACGCCCCGCACCTTCCGCCTCTGTGCCAGGGCACCCGCTTGTCCCTCGGCCAGGAACAATCCTCTCACGCCCCACGTGGGGCCAGTTCCTACCTCCCCAGACTCAATTCAGGCACCGCACCTCAGAGAAACCCTCCCTGACTTCTTTAAGCCCCAAGACCAGTGACACGTCAAATGATGCCATGAGGCCTGGGAAACAAGCCTGTGACTCGTGGTGACTTTGGGGTTTGTAAAGCCAAGTCAGTCTGAGTCCCGGCCCCGCCCATGCAGCACACACCAGTGGGCACGGTGCTCTGCCCGTGCCATAGCCATCATTTCATGTTTACCCCCCACTATACTCTCTTTCTTGAAGGGGTGCCCATAAACCCAGGGCCTGCACTTAGAAGAGTCAGAAATACTATAATGAGTGGATGAACGAATGAGTTCATCACTAAATGGGATTTTCCTCTGAAAGCCCCAGTCAGCGTTACGAAAGCCTTCTGTCGTGGCAGTTGAGGGGAAGGTGTCCTTCCAATGAGGCCAGGGGCTCCCATGTCCCCAGGTTCCACATAAAGCCCCCCACCCAGAGGAGAGAAGCCCCCAGGCTCTGGAACGATGCAAGGCAGGGCAGTGGGAGAGTGAAGAGGAGGGAGCTCCTTAGGAGACAAGCGTTGCAACGTCATTTACTGTAACAGAGTGAGAACCAGCCTGCAGTGGCCTCCACTGGAACGGGTCTCCCCTGGGTGCTAGAACAGCTGACCAGGGGCACTGATGGAGGCAGTTATGCCAGGAAGCCAAATTATAGGTTGACTTGCTCACCACAAGCTGGAGAAGCAGCCTCTGAGAAGTGAGCACCAAACCTCCAGGCCCTGCCCATCAGTCTTAACAGAGATATTTCCGTACTGGTCTTAGAATGTGAGGGTTTAAATCATACTGTCTCCCATTTACAGAGAAGAAACCTGAAATCCAGGGAGATAAGCCTTTTAACCATTGGCCACTTTAATTGTCAAGGCCACCCAAGTAAAAGACTACATTTCCCAGGTTTCCTTGCAGCTAAACATGACCAGGTTCTAGCCAGTGAGACATGTTTGGAAGTAAAGTCTCTAACTTTGGGGGTTTGTTCACAAAGGATGGAGGTGTGCCTCATTTTTCCCCTTACCACTACTGCCTGGTGAGCCATCCTGGACCATATAGCCAAGGACAACACCTTAGAACAATGGAGCAGCAACAACATGGAAAGAACCAGGGTCCCTGACACCTGGGTACACAACTTGGCACACACTGCCAAGTGAGAATGAAAGAAAGGAGCCTACCTTGATTAAGATACTATTAGTGAAGGTGCTTGCTATTGCGGCTGCATCTGTACCCTCTTGACTCATAATACAGCCAGGACCAGGTTTCCTCAGGAAGACCTGGACCACTGCGGCTGCCGAATCCCAGGCACTCTTACTGTATGGGGACACCAGAGCTGTGACCTCCACCCCAGGAACCAGCTGTTTTCTTGGAACAAGAGTTGGGAAATCTGCTTGGAGGGAGCTGCTACATTGCCAAGGATGGGAAGAGAAATGAGCACATTTGATTCTCCACCAGTGTGGACACCAGTGCACCTGCACTAGTTGTTAAAATACTGAAATGCTCCCAGGCCACTGCCCCACCCCACCCCAACCCATCCCTCAAATGTCCCACCCCACCTGCCCCACCCCACCCCCAGCTATCTTTGCCCCAGATCCAGCACTTAAAGGAGTAAGACCTGGCACAGGACGGTCACCAGGACTTCCTTCCTGGCCTCTGGACATTCATTCAGCAAGCCATACCACTTCCTAAATGTTTCAAATATCAGCCCTGGCTATAGGTGCCTGATCTCAACTGTCTGCTGTGTGTGGAGGGTGGTGAGGACCACGTGAGTTCTGAAAGCCCGAGACTGGTTATTGAATCCCCCCTCCACCTCCTTTTCTCCACCCCAAAGCCAGAAACCCCCAGGCTCCACTGAGGCCTGCCCTCACCCATGCAGAATACCCCACAATCCAACCAGATATTATTGTACTCTTTTATTTACATAAAACACAGATAAAGCATTTCCATGTTCATTTAGCAAACCGATCCACTCTTTTTTTTTCTTTTTGGCACAAAGAAAAGATCACAGATGGACCCCAAGATCAATCAGAAACCCATAAGATTTATCAGTCATTACTGGTCCAGGGGCAGCCACAAGACTCAGACAGACAGACAGACAGCATCGCCACAGTCTGGAAAAAATAAACAAGGTCCACATTCACCTCACAGTAAAAACCTGCTCACCGACAAGCAAGGGTGGGCAGGAGGGGCAGTTTCTATGCTCCAAAGGGGGCAGTGGGCGGGGGGGCAGGAAGCGGGGTGAGGAGGGATAGACACCATTCATAAATTAGAGGGAGGAGGCCTTTTCTTTAACCTCTTACCTTGTAGAAGTTAGACAGGGCCAAAACTACCATTCCCTGACCACTCGCCCACTCAGAGCGCTTAGGGAGTTGTGTGGCTCGGGGCCTCTCCCCTGTGCGCACCCGCGTGTGCATGTAGGTGCATGTGTGAGTGCGGTGCTTGTAAACATGGTCACCATCCACACAGACACCCAGTGTCCGTGTGTCTGAGTGGGGTGCGGTGGAGGCTGCACCCCGCTCACTCCCCTTCTGCCCCAGCGACTCCTGTCCAAGACATAGTGCAAATTTCAGAGACAAAAGAGGCAGAAGGAAATGTGGGGTGGGCAGAAGGACACAAAGACAGTGTGGGAGAGGGAGGGGGAAATAAGGCAACAGTTAAAAATGGTCCATTTTATCAAAACCGACACCAGGTGCCCCTCGGCCTCACCGGCGGAGCCCTTGTCACAAGAAAGGGCGGAAGTCCCGCTCCTCCACCAGGCTGACGGAGGGGTTCTTGAGCTCCTCCTCCGAGGTGGCCATCTTGTAGCCCAGCTGCGCCAGCACCCTCTGACAGGCGTTCTGGGCGAAGGCCACGATGTCGTAGGAGAGGCGGAAGCGCCACTTCTCGGCCGTGGCCGCCGAGTTGCGCACGGTGCCGTACTTGTGCTTGCCCAAGGCGGGGTCACCCTGCGTGTTGTTCTGGATCCAGCGGGCCACGTGGCTGTCCAAGGGGATGCCCAGGAACCCGTAGATCTCCTCGGTCTTCTTCATGGGGTTCCTGGCCAGGTCCTCGTAGCGCACCAGCATGTACTTGCCTTTGAGCCACGGGGGCCGCATGAGGCCGGTGGACACGGAGTTGGAGAAGTCCTCGCACACCGTGGTCAGCTGCGTCACGTCCAGGTTGTAGGGTTTCCTCCCGGTGCCGTACCAGAGCCGCCAGAGCCGGTACGTGTCGCGGAAGGTCTCGCTGCGGGAAGCCAGAATGCCACGGGGGTCTCGCACCAGCTGGATGACCTTGAGGTTTAACCGGGGGTCTTCAACCAGGGCCCGCAGGTCGTTAACCTCAGGCACCCTCACTGTCTTGATGGCCACATGGCTGCGCTCCCGACAGGCGTCGGCAGCCACCGTCAAGTTCAGCAGGCCGCACTTGCGCACGCAGTCCCCTTCCTCCAGCACCAGGTCCGCAGAGCCCGGGGGGTCGCACACTGGCCGCGAGCACAGCACCCGGCTGGCCCCGCGGCGGAAGATCCTGTCCGTGGTGTGGTTGACGGGCGGCGGCTTGATGTAGTTCTCCAGGAAGTGGAGGTCGCAGTCGTAGAGGCTCCGCAGGAGGTCGCGGCTGGCGCCCAGCATGACCCGCCGATCCGCGGGGCTCTTGCCCTGGGTGAAGCGGGGGATGAGCGTGTTCTGGACGTGGTAGAGGGGCTCGAACAGGTAGAAGACGTCCAGGTGCTGGTTGAAGAGCTGGCCCACGAAGGAGGAGCCGCTGCGCGTGGTGGCCAGGATGAGAATGTGGGTCTTGCGGGAGAGGTTGTAGGTGAAGGTGGGGCCCTCCTCACACAGCCGCTCGGCCAGCCCCGCCTCAGCCAGGCCCGGGCAGGTGTGGAAGGACTTGGCGGTGAAGGTGCGGATGGCCGTGTACTGGATGGCGATGGAGGCCAGGGCGAGGAGGAGGACAGCCTTCCAGGAACATTGCATGGCTGGGCACCTTCATGGGGCTGCTTCTCCACCTTTCGAGGTCTGCAGGCAAGAGCGGGCAGCGGTCAGGGACAGCTGGGCTTGGGTCCCTCACATGAAAGAAGAGTTGGTCTCTGGGGGGGGGGGGCATCCAGGGAGGCATCCCTGTCTTCCTGCCCAGTGCTGCTCGGGCACCAAAGGCCTGAGCAGCTTGTACACCATTCACCGGTCTCTGGGGGAGTCAGTGTGGTCTGAACCAACCGACTCCCTGTGCCTGGTCCTGCAGGGCTGAACCCACAGTCCACTGCAGGGGCCTCCCTGCAGGAGCCCTGGGTTCCTCAGTGGGGAACTACTGGGCAGGAAACTAACTCCCCCAACCCCCACGGAGGGAATGACCAGGTCCCGCCTCCAGCCACTGCATGTCGCCAAGCGCTGGCATCTCCTGGCCCCACCTACATCTTCGTCCGCCCTCACGAACAAACCCACATGGTCATTTTTTCTCCATCCCCTGTTCACCCCCCACCAGGGGGAGGGAGAGTTCACCACAGAAGCCCGGGGCTGAAAGGGCCCTGGGGCTCTGTGAGTCACGGGCTGCCAACTCCGGCTCACCCACACCCACGGGGCGAGGAAAGGCGGGCAGCTGTGTCAAGCACCACATCCCCCAACTTATGGATGCAGGTGACCAGCTTACTCCATATGAAGACTCCTGGGGCCCTGGGGTACCAAAGAGTCAGCTGGCCCAGATCAGAGACAAGTCCTGGGGCTGCTGAGAAGGATCCCTTCCCAAGCCCCGGTGTCCCCCCCAGGTTTGCTCCTGGCCACTGGGGGCAAAGGTCCACGGCATGGAGCAGATGACTGACTCCCACGACAGCTGAGCGAACTGACCCCTCCACCTCAGCCAGTCCTCAAGGGCCTCCACCCTCAGGCCCTCGGCCTTTTCTGTCCATAGGGTGAGCTCAGGGACCCGCCCTAACCCAGCAATGACCCCAGAGAACCAGGCGGGACAGAGAAGAGGAAAGGAGGGAACAGAAGGAGCACCCCAAGGAAAGCATGGGGGATGAGGAAGGCCCCGGGAGAACCGTGAAAGCGAAGGGTGTGCCTAGGGTTCAAGGCAAGGAGCCAACCTGAGCATCTGGAAGTCCACCAGGAAAGGCTAGCTCAGCTACTAGGCTGCAGGGAGGGATCCACTACTCACCAAAGAGGGGCTGCTCCAAGCCGGGGAGTCCGCAGCCACCAGGTCTCCTTCGAGGCAGCCCCGTGGCCAGCAGACTTCAGGGAGACAGAGAGAGGAGGGGTTCTGAAAAAGGGGCCGGGCTCCAGCCCCTCCCTCCCTACCCCTGCTCTCCTGCGTTCTGGGCCCTACTGACTGCCCCCACGGCTGGGCGATGAGGGCCCTGCCTGCTCTCCCTCATCTATCACCGGCTCGGGGCTCCAAATAACCCAACGCCATCCAGCCCTCTGAGTCCTGGGCGCCATCCCACCCCTTCCGCTAACTTTCCCCACCCACCCACCCACCCACCGCCTCCTAACGAGCCCTAGTCCCTCTGCTCCCACCAGAAACCAGTGGGGAAGGAGCTGGCAAGCCTGCAACCCCAGCTGACCAAGAGTTGCTGCCCCACATGGGCAAACACCCCCGGGAGGCACTCACTCACACACACCCACCACCCAATGGAACTGAAAAGAAACTCCCTGGCCACAAACACCCCCAGGCCTAGCTGGCTTGTTCATTCGGCCCTAGTGCCCAGACTGGCCCAACCAGCCACCATGCTCAGCCTCCAACAACAGAACAGAGCGCCGGAGTCAAACTCATCCCAAAAAGTGGCAGGCGCACAACCCCTGCTGGTTCTGAATTTTAAATCAATAGCACATCCTGAGCTTCCAAAATTCGACTTGTTCAGTGACTGCCCAGGAGGGGGCTCGTGGAAATCAGCAAGGGCAGGGGGCCTCACCTCACACCTCCAGGTGGAAATGCAGCTCAGTCGCAACAGCCAGGATGCTGAGGCCCCCAGGAAGGGACAGCGGGGGCAAGAGGTTCGCCTTCCAGCCACACGGGGGAGAGAAAGGCTACCTGAAACTCAAAGCAAGAGTGGACCAGGGAGCATCCCTGACCTTCACGCTCTCCATGGATTCAAAGTTAAAACACCAAGATCACAGCATTATTTTGATTAGCACCTACTGAGCATGGCCTAAGTGCTAAGTAAGCCCTTTACCTCGGAGCTCATGTATTCGCCCCAAGAACTTCAGGTGGAAGCCAATACAATAACCTCCATCCCACAGGCAGGACAGCGGAGGCACAGGGCTAAAGCGACCCGATTTAACCCGCAGCCAGCAGGTTGTCCAGAGCCCACACTCTTCTCCCTCAAAGATTTGACTTTCTGTTCCTCTAGTTTACGCATACTTGGCCTTCAAACATGCACTGAGTTAACGTCCCCAGCCCATCTGTGAACTGGCAAGAGAGGGACTGGGCATTAAATGGGGGTGGATAGATGATTTCCAGGACTTAGAGCATATTCCTTCCCTTTGCTGCCCAGTCTCATTGCTCAGTTGGCCCACAGCCGAGGGACCGAATCCACATGCTTTGTGAATAGTCTCCCCCCATTGTGCTATTGGTATGATTTCTCTGGGGGGGGGAGGTTAGGGGGCCTCATGTCCCAACCCTGCAGTAATGCCTGGCTCTGCTCACCCAACTCTCAACACCACATTATCCCTTACAAGCCCCCTGTGGGAGGTCAGGGTCCTCACTTCCATTGCTCACATGGAGAAACTGAGCCTCAAAGACTAGGCATACATGTATAAGCAAATAAGAAGCAGCAGAGACTTAAATCCCTCTGGGTCCGATTTGCAGGCCAGTGCTCTGGCCCCTTCACCATCAGCTTGAGGAGCGGTACAAAGGCTGGGCTGAGCTGGCAATGAGCCGGCTGAGGCTCTGGAGCCTAGGAGTCCTGTTTTCTATATGAAACTCCACTTAGTACCTTTGGAAAGCAATACCATGTTACCAAGGGGCAGGGAATAGGTGAAGGGCACAGTCTACATTCTTGAGAACCTCCAATGTGAAGAGAGAAAATAACACAACCCCGACCACATCCCATCCGACCCCTCCTCACCCCATGGCAGCAGAGGATGCTGGGGTGGATGAGGTACCCAGAGAGAACATTCTCTCTGCTTTCAATCTCATTCCCCTGCAGAGTGCAGGCCTGCCCTGCCTGAGTAACCTGAGACAAACACAAACACCTTGGAAGAACAGGTAGGGAACGCCATCAATAATAGTGCCAGCTAATATTTCGGGGCCCTATACTTCAGTTGCAATGCCATTGCATTTGTTTGTACTCACTTTGTCTTTTTTCACATCTGTCAGCCACCCAGCATGAGACAGGCACTATGGGTAAAACAGCACAAAGACAAGGGAGCACTTCCTGGGCATTCACGACGTTTCTCCCGGGCACATGCTCCCTTCACACGCATCGGCTCGTCCTGCCCTCCTGCCAACCTCATAAGACTGATGCCGTCACATCCCCATTTTACAGGTAAGGAAGCTGAGGCTCTGCAAGGTGAGAAAGATTTCCCAAGGTCGCACCTCTAGCAAGGGGCAGAGCCAGGATTCCAGCCCAGTCGCTGTGCTCTGGAATCCAATCCTCCCCCTGAATCCTGCTCCTGATCTCTGTTCCGCTCACACTCCTCCCTGTTTGGCCTTGTCGAGATGAGAAACAGAACCCTTAAAGGGACTTCATGTAACTACAGGATTCTGTCCCTAAAAACAGGATGAAGAGGACAGGGAGGGGACCATTTCTGTTTCTTTCCTCCACTGTCCCTGCTCACCCCCACCCAGAGAAACTTAAGGCTGGATTGGAAGCTGTTGCCTTGGCCAATGAATCAGAAGTCATGAAGCATCTTGATGTTATAAATCTCTAAGAAAGTGGGACTCAGATTCATAAGGTGCAGCTTGGGTTCCAAGGAGGGGGGATGTGTTCAAGAGCCCAGTGGCCAGCCGTCCCCTTCCCCCCAGAAGGGCAAAACCAGGGCATGGGAACAGGAAGATGGAGGAAGTCAGGTCCTCCCAGAAATGTCCCCGCTGTCCTGCCAGCCTGGCAGAGCAGGGCCCAGGGCTGGCCAAGCCTCCTTGGTATGCTAAATGCATATGCCCTGAAAACCAGAGGCCCTAGGGCCAGGTCTCATTGTTCCCAGGGGAGCTTTGGTCACTGCAAGAGAATCCTCAACACCCTCGACCTCTAAGCTAGACTCTGAGTCCCAGGTCCCCTCCCTGAGCTTCAAGCATCCTCTGGCAATGGCTTCCCTACACCTCTGGTTAGTCAAAAGCCAGGCAGATCTGAGGCCCAGAATCTGTAACTTCTGTTGGAAGGCACGGGAGTCGGTGAACTCCCACTCGAAACAGGAAGCTCAGATTGCAGTGTCAGCCACATTGATATTAAGGCACAGAGCACCACCACATGGGGCGGGCAGATGGGACACCTCTATGCTGGAGAACTGTAATTCAGAGCTGAGAGCTCAAGTCATGGAACCACGCCCACCTGGATGTCACTTAGCAGGTGTGTGGGCCTGGGTGACTGTCTCTGCGCCTCAGTTTCCCCACATGTAAAGTGGGTATCTCATAGAACTGAAGGACTTAAAGCATTTCATCAGTGCCGGGTGTAGAATAGGGCACCGCCTCATGCCTTGGACGTGGGCTCTGACACCAGCCCCCTAGAAGGCCAGGTTTCTTCATCTCTCTTGTCCTCTGTTCTCTCCCCTGAAAAGTGCAGATAATTTTAACAAGGCTGTTGTGAGGATTGATGTGTTAATGGAGTCCAGCATATAGTAAGCATTCAATGAATGTAACCTACTGTTACCATCATTAAATGTATTATTTGCTCTTTTGTCTTGGGGAGATGCCCCAGAACAAATCACCACTGGCTCTGGTACACAGTCTCTCTCATCATTGTGCCCAGACCCCTGCCAAGCAGGCCCCTGCCCACTGCCCCTTCTTCCCTGGCTCCTCTCTCAGGCCTCGAACTTTCTCACGCTGAGCTAGTGCAGTGGTTTTCCTGCTTCCCTCTAGTGGCCATATCCTATAGTGCAGCCTCTTAGCCCTGCGTCTTTGCTGTGTTCAGAATTCCTGGCTGGTCGGCAGCTGCTTAGTGTGAAGATGCAGCCAACGGGAGGTGATGTTGCAGGATGCAGTGAGATGTGATGATTACACGCCCACCCTGGCTATGACTTCTGCTCTGTGCTCCTCCTCTTCCTTATGCACACACCAAGAGGCAAGCAGCAACAGGCAGCCAAACCTCATTTGCAGGGCTTCTCCCTGGTCTCATTCTGCTCTGGCAAGGGAAGGAACAGTGAACTGATCATCACAGGCAGGAGCAGCCCACAGCCTCTGCCTTTCCCTGGCTTGGTGATTTTGGGCTCTGTGTCTCAGTTTTTCAACAGATCCAGCAACCCTAAGGGCCTCCCAGGTCTGACCACAGGGGGTTTCTGAGCCCAGGAAGGCCCCATACGCCACTCTCAGAGTCAGGGCCATTCTCTCTGAAGGTAGGGACCCTTCTTTGGGAGTGGGAAGGCCCCAGTCATCTTCCGAGAAGATACCAGGGATGGGAGAGCACTCTGCCCCCCACCTCAGCCTGATCCATGGCTGGCGCAGTCCAGGGGCTGTGCCCTCTGCTGAATCAGCACCACCTGCCCTCAACCTCATGCCTCCCCCCTCTATGAAATCTCAGGCCACCCAGAGCTGTGACTCTGCCTTTTCTGGGCCACAGGCCCCTTGGAGAGACACAATCCCTCCTCTCAGAAAGATCCCTTTGTGCCCACAGTTTTACACACACAATTGGAGAGGTCAAGTCTCTAGGGGAAAGAAGGGACACCCATGGGTGGACTTTCGGAGGTCCAGAAACCTACAAGTAGCACTAGCCCAACCCCAGGATTTTCGTTGCAGGTAACGCTATCAGAGAAGTTTCCGCAGACATCACCCATGATATATTATTAACCAAAAAAAGCTAGGGCCAGAAAACACATGTGCAATAGTATACTGCCATTTCTGGGTTTCGAACAGGAATGTGTGTGTGTGTGTGTGTGTGTGTGTGTGTGTGTGTGTGTAAACAACCACTGAAAAAACATGTGCTGAGCCAGTAATTGTAGAGCCCCAGAAGGGGAGCGAGGAGATGGGGATGCAAGGAAGGCACAGTTTACACAGAGCTTTTTGGTTCAGTTTGAATTTATTAACTTTTTGGGACAGAGTGAAGCCACCCATGCAAGAACTGGAAGACTAATGACAGGGTGGGGCCCCCAAAATCAGCACTGGCACTTCCCTGTGCCAACTATTCTGCTCCCCCAGCACTGCCAGCCAACCTTCTCCTCCTCCATTTCCAAGGAACCAGGGTCAAAGTCACTACCTTTCCACCAGAATGGTGTTCTTTCTGCTCAGGCAGACCCCGAAGGACAGCAGTCAGCTGGGGCTGCTGAAAAAGAGTGAGACCTCAAAGGGGACCTGAGGCTGTGGGGGCACAGCAGAGGCCTGAATTGGGGAAATGACTGCTCTTCCAGCTATTTCTCCCCCCCAAAAAAAACAGTTTGTGAAGTTCTAGGGACCTAGAGAAAGCAAAGAAAAAAACCTGAATATCATATTTCTAACCAGACCCAGGAGCCAGTCTGGAGGGGCCCCAAGGCTCTGGGGCCCAGAGGACATGGAGCAAGGGGCAGGGCCAACTGGACAGGGAGGGAGGAGTTGGCAAACAGGCCTCTAGGATGGAGACTGCAGAAAGGAAGTGCTTAATCCCTACATTGGCAGTGGCCAGCACGAATCCACCATAGATGTTTGTTTAGTTACGGCTAAATCACATAAAACAGCAAGGTTTTTCCCTTCTTAAGGAAAATGTGGCAATGAAATAAGGCAGGTGAAAAACAAGAATATGAAAGTCTGAAAGAACTAGAAGCCAGGTCAGTGTACAAGCACCAAACCACTCCTGGGCTACGCATATAAGTCAGAGCTACCTGGAAGCCAATGGGAAAAGAGAAATATGCAATTTATATATTTTGTAGGATCCATGAGATGAAGATTAAAGCATCAGCTCAAGAAGTACCCAGCTACTTCTGATATTGACTTCAGCACCAGATTTCTCCTGAGGGGTTTTCTAGAGAGCCCTGGGGCTGTATTCTCAAACATCCTTCAAGGTGAGCAATATCCCAGTACATAATTCAGCCAGTGCAACCTTGCCAGGTGAGGCGAACTGATGGCGTCCAGACTTAGCCTCTGTGTTCCAGGATGGCCTAAGAGGAGACTAGAGGCATTTTCAGTGGATTTCCCTTTGGGGTTCTGCCGCTCAACCTGAAACACCGTGAAGTCTGTGGATTACTCCCAGAATCTGCACCAACACAAACACAGTGTTTCTGTATAATAATCTCTGGAATCCCAGGCCCTGCGGCCTATGCACAGACCCCACGGGCAGAACCAGCATGTCATTCAGTTACCTCCAGGGGTAGGGCGAGAGTGCTCCCAGTCCTGGCTCCAAAGACAGACTCACAGGGGGCAACTGACGTGCTGACTTCCCATCAGCCGCAGAGCCCCTCAGCTGCCTCTTAGGAGCTCTCGTGTCTCCAGTGCAAGTTGCTCTAGTGTCCACACGTGATGGCACCGGCACCCCCGAGGGGGTCTCAAGCCTCCATGAGAGTCACCCACAGGCATGTGAAGAGGCAGGCAGGGTGGCAGCTGGGCACCCTCGTGGGGCCAGCTGGCCTGGATTGGACTCCCACTGCTGCTGCCTTACAGCTTGGGGACCCGACCGGGCCACTTACCCGGCACAGGCCTCAGTGATCCTTATCTACAAAATGAGAAGGACAGTCACAGAATCTTTCAAGTATTTGGGCTGTGAGACAGAAAGCTGGTGACTGCCAACAGCACGGCACAGTGCTAGGCAAAGGGCCATCCCCACAAGCAGGATTCCCGAGCCTGATTTCCAGGGGATGCTCTAACCCACGAACAGGCAGGCATGGCCTGGAAATGTTTAAGGAAGTTAAAGCAGACCCCCCCAGGCTCCTCCACGGAAGCCCCCACAGCCTGTGTGCTCGGAGACCCCTGCTGTTTGGGTGGCGGAGACCACCTCACGGTCCCGTCCCACCCCACAGCCAGTGGGCAGGGTCCCAGCGGCTGGACCTGGAGAAAGCTCTCCCGGGCAGTGGGGAGACTGACTGACCTCCTGGCTCAAGGCCCCTGTGTGCCCGGCACCTCTGGGGGGGGGGGATGAGTCAGAAAGGCCCAGTTCCCTCGGGCGGTCCTACAGACTGGCCTGTGGTAGGCGGATCGGACACTGGGCGGAAGGCCCAGTTTCCTGTCCTCCCTCCCCACTCCAGCAGCCATGGTCAGAGTCAGAATAGTCCTGAGGCCCCACCCCCTGGACACCCAGGCTTGGGCCCATCCTCCCATCTTCAAGGATGGGAAACCACCAAGAGCAGCTTGAGCACAGGCAGCTGCTGCCAGAGGAGTCAGGACGGGGGCATCTGTCCCTGGATCCCAGAGCCTCCAGGCTCTGAAGCACTTGCATAAGGCCCAACTGGCCTCTGGGGACCAGGGAGGGCTGGGCGCAGGGGAGGCTCACCTGACCCTTGGGGCTCTAACTCAGGGTAGAGGAGGGTATGGGAGCAGATACCCGGAAACTATCAGGGCCCCGGCTCTCATTAAGCAGGCCCTTACCGCAGGTAGCATCGCCGCCTTTCACAGACGAGGGGCAGCGAGGCCCAGGCAAGTGAGAGGGCTCATGCAAGCTCAAGTGGCTAATTCGTGGTGGGGCCAGGATTCAAGTTCAGCTCCAAGTGCTGGCCCTGGCCCTAACCACAAAGCTAAGCCTCACACCACACCCAAGAGCAAGATCATCACCCAGTACCTGGAGACCAGAGGGGAGGGGCAGGGGTGCAGGGCCAATGTCACCACCAGGTACCAGGACACCCCAATGCAGACATTCCTGGTGCAGCGATGGCACATCACAGGCAGTAGCCAAAAGTCACTCTGCTCCCCAGCCCAGGGCTCCAGGTCTAGCTAGGAAAGTCGATGGAGGAGTGGGCAGTTTTGTGGTCAAGGAACCCAGGAAGGCTCAAATCCTTTGCAGCCAAGGGGACACCAAAGATGTTTGGAGTGGGGCACAGGGTTTGGCTCAAGGCCCAGAGTAGAGCCTCCAGCTCCCTAAGTTCAGAACTTATCACCAGCCCACAGCAGGTCACAAGGATGCCAGCACAGTTCAACCTGTCACTCCCCTGTCTCCTGGGTAAGCAGCACTGGAGAGAGCTACCCACTGGGAACATGACAATCAATGAGCATCGCTGCCCCTGCATCAACAGGGGCCAGCAGAAGTAGACACAGCTCTGAGCAGGCAGCTGCTCAGCAGGGATCCATTTGCCAGGTGGGGGACCGAGGCTCACGGAGGCCCAAGAACTTGCTCCCATGGCCAAGAAGTGGAAGGGTGGGACTGGATTCAGACTCTGGGGCGCTGTCTGTGACCTGCACGTGCAGCAAGGTCCTCACCTCACCAAGGCTCTCCCTCCAGTTTTCCCTTCCTTCCCCTTCTGACGTCCTAATACCCTTGGATCTCCAAGGGTATTAGGACCACTCCAAGCAGCTCCCCTGGTCCTGTACACACCCATAAGTGCTTAGAAGCTACTTAGCAGAGCATGAAACCCAGACCTTGGGTCCCAGCTAGCCTGGCCCTCTCTGAGCCCCACCCAGGTGGCCAGGGAGGGGAGAGCACGCCCACCTCCCAGGGCAGGTGAGGGGCTTAAATAAGATCTGCTTGCCCATAATGCTCTTAGCATGCCGGCTGGTATACAGCAATCACTCAGTAAGGGATACCTTCAAAGGCTGGCATCACACTTGTCTGTCCTCATCATCTGCCTGCAGAATCCACCAGGGAGAGCACCAGGCCCTCCCTCCACCCACCCACTAGCACCTCTGATGCCCATCCTGGGGCCCCCAGCGCACTGCAGGAACTCAAACCACTCTCTGTCCCCAGCAGAGATGCCAAGTAGAGAAGGGCTGTGCCCTGACCCCCGTCCCCAAGGAGGAGACGAGCATCGTGACAATTCCCAGCCACAGCCTTCCAGCTCTAATCAAGGAACAAACACGAGGGACTCTCTAAACATTTAGAAAACGCGGGAACTCTGTGCCCCACGTGGCACTGTGGGATTTATAAAGAACAAATCATGCCTGACAAACTTGATAGCTTTTTTGATAGAATTACAAGACTGGTAGATGAAGGAAATGCAGGCAGGGTAATATATCTTGATTTTTAGCAAAGCACTTGATAACAGCGCCTCGAGTAATCTTACAAAATTAATTCAAACAGACTTGGCCCTAAGCACTTGCTATGTGGCCAAAAGCAGGAGGGGGCGGGTCCCACGGTGGAGGAGGCACCCTGGGGTGAAGGGGCTGAGGGACAGAGTCTGGGAGTGGGGGCAGGGCTGCCAAGACCCAGTGCTGGGTCAGGCCTTACCTAACATCTTCATTAATGGTCCTGAGAGAGGGAGTAAACAGTCCGTTAATGAAATTTGCAGAGGATATTAAATTGGAAGGTGTTGTGAACACCAATGAGGACAGCAAAACGGTCCAGAGAGACGGGGAGGGGGGTGGGGGGCGGGGAAGAACCTTGGCAGGAAACTGAGAGCATGGGGGGAGCGTGGGGTTGGAGGGAGGTATTGACCAGCAACCAGGGCTACCTGGAGAGCCAGGGAAGAAGGAAGGGCATCCAGGGGCCTGCGAGGAGCTGGGAGCAGCCACAGCTAGCTTGGGTTCTGGCCAAAGAGGCAACCCCAGGAATCTCAGTTTTCCTGTAAAATAGAAGGGCTGGCAGGAAGGATGTCTTGCAGCTCTAAGTGCCGGCAGGGATGGGAGCCCGGAGCTGAAGCCCACCTTCTGGGAGGACAGGGGAGCGACAGTCATACAAAAAGGGGGGATCGTCTGCAGGCCAGGGAGGGAAGGGCATCCATCAAGAGGGCTGGTGAGGGAGACTCTGGGGGGCCATCACTAGCACCCAGAATGGCCCTGAGCCACTGCCCAGAGGCAGTGCGGCTGGGGTAAACAGCAGTGGGCAGGCCCCTCTCCTAGCTGCTGGTGGGACAGGCTGGGGCGCTAAGGCCGTCCAGACCGGTAGGGTCGGCTAGGAGCAGTTACGTGAAAGAGGTTTAACCCAGGCAGGGGAGAGTGGGGTGTGGGGGGCAAAGGCCAGGGTCTGTTATCTTGCTGGAGAGTTCCTAATCCCTCCTGGGCAGATCATCAAGAGGGAGGTGCCTGTCCAGCCAGGTGAACTGGCCTCTCCTGGATCGAGGAGAGTCACCCCACTCCTGTCTCTCCGACCTCAGAGCTGGGACCTCTCCTGTTCCTCTCCCTCCCTCTCACCGGGTACCAAGCAGGCTAAGGCAAAAAGCCACCCATTCATCTGGACTTGGATTGGTTCCCACAAGGCTCCTTGAGTGGTGGGGTCTCAGCAGGAGCCAGGGCTCTCTAGCATAGTGCCAGGCCCCCCGCAACCTAAATAAATGCTCTGTGGGAGGGAGAAACGCATGGCTGGCTCCCAACTGGGGGTGTACCAGGGCTGCTGCGGGCAGCTCTGCCAGAGCAGGGGGCTGGCCCTGCCAGATGTCAATGCCATCCCCTTGATATCAGGACACAGAGGATGGATCCAGGTGAATATGCTGGGGGAGTTTCTTCCAACCTCCTGAATTAGTAATAATGACACTGACTGAACACTTACTATGGCTTCGTTCAGAGTGTGTTCCTCAGCTTAACACATTTGACCTTCACAACAGCCTTATGAGGTGGGTCCTCTTATTTTCTCCATTTCAAAGAGGGGGAAACTGAGGCACAGAGTGGCAGCCAGGAGCCTTGGCACCTAGCCAGAAGGCCCATGGGAGGAGCAGCCTGCCAAATGCTACAGTGGGAGATGCGCAGCTCCTGATGGGGGATCCAGTGGGTGGGAAGAGGCAGCCCCTCCTCTGGGGCCCCCAGAGCCTTGCCCAGCCTCTCCCTGTCCCTCTTAACAGGAGTTGGTCCAACTCCTGACACACTTGTGGAGCCTGATTTTACTATGTTTCCCTCTCCCCTACCACTGCCGGGCTACACCAAGTCCTCCGAACAAGTCAGTTTCCATGGAAACCATACAGTGACTCAGGGCTTCGGGACCTTCTCTGAACCAGATTATGAATATCAAATGCTCCCTCCCCACACCAATGCAGAGTGAGTTGGAAAAGTAGAGACACAGTGGGCAGGAGAGGAAGACAGGGAAGTGAGCAAGGAGAAGGCAGGGTGGGGGGCAGGGCACAACCCTGGCCCTCCCAGTGACAACCTGACATCTGGGTCCCCTGCAGACTCAGCAGAGCACAGATGTACATCTCCGTGTGTGCAGAGCCGGTACACACACGCCCCAGCATCAGTACCAGCCTTCCCAAGGAGCTCGAGTCCTCGGGGGGACGGGGGGGGGGGGGGGGGGCAGGGAAGCAAGGGGGCTTGACATTTCTCCTAGTGGGGACCTCACATGGCGGAAGGGGCTGAAGGGCCAGGGAGGAGGGAAGCGGTCTACAGGAGTCTGCCTTCAGATGCCAAGGAGGAAACCTCTGGCTAAAAGCATTGCAATATTCAGAAAGAGGGAAATTTGGATTTTCAAGGGGAAATGCGCTTCTGCATGGAGATGAGGAGCTAAGTGTTAGCCTATGTTCCTCGAGGAAGCACTGGTCATAATTTCAAAGCCCCCCCCACCCGCCCCGCGCCCGGCCTCCAGCTGCAGGGATGGGGGATCATTAGCACAGACTTCCTCTCTCTTGCCTCCATCCTCACCTAGCCAATGGCCATTCACCTGCTCTGATTGGAACAATAGTAGAGAAATCAAAGTTTGCAGTGCCAGACTCCTGGTCTCCCACAGGGGACTAAAGCCCCCCAAATCCCCCCTCCTTTCACCAGCAGCTCCCTGAAGACCCAAGAGGGAGGGAAGAGAAGAGGTTGGAGGCTTGATACCTCCCGGGTGAATCCGGTGTGTGAGTCATGGCAGTAGAGCCCTTGGAAAAAGAAACAGGGTCACGCCGACGCATGTCGGTGCCCCCAGCTGCTGGGCACTGGAGTAGGAAACTGCCCGCCCAGGTAGCTCTCTGCCTGAGGCATCTAGCCCCACCTTGAGGGGTTGAGCAACCCCTGAAGACAGGAACCTGGTACCTCGGTGCC